GTCTGTCACTAACACGCATGCCCTGTTATCTCTCTCGTCTGCCCGCTCCCTCCCTCTTGGCCTGGCTCCTTCCATGCCTTTTCTCCTCCCTCCCTCCCCTCCCCTCTCTTCTCCTCCCCTCTCCTGGCAATCTCGGGACCCAGCCAAACAGAAGCAGAAGTCGGTGAGTGTCACAGCTTTCTCTGTCCCCTCCCTGCCCCTTGGGTGAGCTGGGGACCTTCTAACACCCGTGCCCCACCTTCCCTGGCCAACCCCCTCCCCATCCTCACCTCTGGGCTCCGGGAGCAGGGGCGGGAAGCTGCTTGGGGAGGCTGGAGAGGCGCTGATGGCACCCCCACTCTGGGGGCTCCCCTCCCTGCTTTCCCCAGACAGAGCACGTGCCCCCCTACGACGTGGTGCCTTCCATGAGGCCCATCATCCTGGTGGGACCGTCGCTCAAGGGCTACGAGGTAGGAGCTCTGCAGAGACGTGGACTGCAGGGGCCCCGACTCCAGAGACCGTAGGGAGAGCTTCGGGCCGCAGCGGGGTCCTTAGAGAGGTCCAGACCCCCAGACGTTCAGGGAGAACCCCAGAGGGGCATGACCCTTGCGGCCCCATTCGGAAGGGCCCAGTCCCCCAAATAAGTCTCTGAAGGGCCCTTGCAGAGATCCCACCTAGAGGGCCCTTGGAATCAGAGACTGCCTTGGAGACTCCCCCGTCCCCAGGGCCCTCGTCCCAGGGATCCCAAAGGAGAGTGACAGGGAAGGGCCAGGTGCCAGCAGCCCAGCCTCTTGGACTGCTCGAAATGCCTGACTGTCCCACCGCCCCCACCAACCCCACCGCAGGTCACAGACATGATGCAGAAAGCTCTGTTCGACTTCCTGAAGCATCGGTTTGATGGCAGGTAAGGCCCAGGGCCCACAGCTCTGGCTCTGGGCAGGGTAGGCTGTCTTGAAGGATAGTCCTAGGGCTCTTGGGTAGTGTTCTGGCCCACTGTGGCCCCACTGCTCCTCTGTGTGGTCCCCAGGATCTCCATCACCCGGGTGACAGCCGACATCTCCCTGGCCAAGCGCTCTGTCCTCAACAACCCCAGCAAGCATGTCATCATCGAGCGCTCCAACACGCGCTCCAGCCTGGGTGAGCCCGCGCCCGCCTTGCACCCACTTCTGTGCCAAGATGGGTGGTGGCGGCGCTACCCCTGTGCCTGATGCCTCATCTTCCCCTCCCCACTGCTCCACAACCCCAGCCGAGGTGCAGAGCGAGATCGAGCGGATCTTCGAGCTGGCCCGGACCCTGCAGCTGGTTGCCCTGGATGCAGACACCATCAACCACCCAGCCCAGCTCTCCAAGACCTCGCTGGCGCCCATCATTGTTTACATCAAGATCACCTCTCCCAAGGTGAGCAAGGCCCTGGCCAGCAGTGTGGCTCAGGAGGAATGCTCTGAGCTTGGGCTGCCCCAGTGTACCGTGTTGCTCACTCACTGGTGACTTAATGTCCCTGAGACACAGTTTCTTTCTTTGAACAACTGCATCATGTGGCTATTGTGAATGTGAAGATACAACCTGGTGGGGAGGCATAACACTTAGGGAAGGGTCTGCTGCCATTAACCTCATTGTGTATTAGTTATTGTTGTTATTATTATTTTTTGAGACACGGTCTTACTGTATAGCCCAGGCGGGCCTCAGGGTGGGGTTGATCCTCTTGCCTCAGCCTCCCAAGTACTGGGATTACAGTCATGCGCCACCAAGCCTGGCTTAGTTATTGTTTTATATTATTATTAGAGTTACCCAGCTCAGTCCCCTGTAGCACGATGGCTGTCCTCCTATTGTTGGATCATATAATGGAAAGAATTGTTTTTTGTTTTTTGTTTTTTGTTTTTCTGGTACTGGGAATCGCACTCACTACCTCGCACTTGCCAGGTGAGCTTGCCAGGTGTGCCGCTGAGCTAAATCCCCAGCCCCTCTTTCTGTTTTTTTGAGACAGGGTCTCACTATGTCACTCAGGGTGTCTTGAACTCACTATGTAGCCAGGGTGGCCTCCAACTTGGAGTGATCCTCCTGCCTCAACCTCCCAAGTGCTAGGATCACAAACGTCACCACTATACCTGGCTAAGAATAATGTGCTTTCTGTTGCAGTGTCACTCAACTCCTTGGCAGTTGGGAGGTTGTTTCGGCCTTCTGGTATCAGCCCCCGTTTCGCCGTATTGTCCTCATTTGCACTTTGTTTTTTGGGTTACTTATTCATTGGTAGGGGAATGGAACCCAGGGCCACATGCATGCCAGACAACAACTCTAGCACTCAGGTATATCCCCAGTCCTTTAAAAATTTTTTCCTTTTGAGTCAGGGTGGTGTTGTCAAGTTGCCCAGACTGGCCTTGACCTTGTGATTCCTTGTGCCTCAGCCTCCTGAGCAGCTGGTGTCACAGGCCTGTGGCACTGTGCCCAGCCTCACTGGTACCTTGGTAGAAGGGCTATGGGGACAAAGGCTGATTGTATCCTTGTCACACTGTGGCCCCATGAACTTTCCCTTTGGGATGTCAGGGGAGACTTGGGGAACAAGGAGGAGGCATTTAGGAAAAGGGAGACAAGCCAGGTGTGGTGGT